ACGGAGAAGTGGTGCCTCGGGGCGCTCCCGGGATCCGAACCCGGGCCGCCAGCATCAGAGCGCGCGCACTTAACCACTAAGCCACGGAGCCGGCCCTGAAATGTTCATTCTTATGTGGTCTAATTGGGAGATTTTTTGTCTTTTAGATGAAATTTTCTGAAACTTTGTTTCTTAACTCTTCATTAAAAAAAGAAAACCAGGGATCATGTTTCTAGAATGGGCAGAAATTCTAGAAAAGTCTATTTTCTCCTTACCAATTCCAAATTGATGGTATCCATCTTCTAATAACCTCAAATAATAGATTTTTAAATAATGTTCTTTCTTATACACAAGTAGTGCATATTTGATGTAGAAAATATAGATAAGCAAAAAGAATAACATGAAAATTGTCTATAATCCCAACTCCTCAAAACAATCACTTAATATTTTGAAATGTATCTTTTCAGTCTTTTTTAAGTGTATATAATGCTTTTCTGACAAAAATGATTTCATATAATATGTATAATTTTTTTACTTTTTATTTAACAATACAGGTATACCAAGGACATTTCTCTGTAGTGTTAAGTATCCTTCCAGGGGCTGCCAGTGGCGCAGCGGTTAAGTGCGTGTGCTCTGCTGCGGCGGCCCGGGGTTCGCAGGTTTGGATCCCGGGCACGCACCAATGCACTGCTTGTAAAGCCATGCTGTGGCGGCGTCCCATATAAAGTAGGGGAAGATGGGCACGGATATTAGCCCAGGGCCAAGCTTCTTCAGCAAAAAAGAGGAGGATTGGCATCAGATGTTAGCTCAGGACTGATCTTCCTCACCAAAAAAAAAGAAATTCTTCCACATCATTTTTAGAAGTAACATAGTACTACCAGTCCTCTGAGTTGTTTTCAATTTTTCACTATTATGAACAAGGCAGTAATGAGTATCTTTGTTGTTAAATCCTTCTTCACATCCATAAAATTGATATATCTTTGAAAGCACACAGTCACACAGTTTAAGCCCTTCTCTTAACATTGAGCTAATTAAAGATAAAGAATGATTACTGTTGGAATTATCTAGAACAAAGAAACTAAAACGCCTTTGTTTTTGTTTTCCAAATTATTGTCATACCAGTGAGGGGGAGAAAGAAAGTATCTAATGAATATATGTATAGAGAAATTTCTTTAAATTTTAAATTTTTACCTTAAAATGACCTCAGTATTCATTTCAGGTGTATTTGTGTTTAAGAAATTTTGATAACCAGCTGTTGAAATTAAAGGGATTGTGTTGAAAGACTGTGTTATTATTGTTAACTAAGATGCATTTGTTCTAATCACAAAACAGCATCTCTCTATGGCTTTCCAGTTACCTCCATTTTCTAAAAGAAAAGCATGCTCTTTGCTTGGCCAGACTGCTACTTAACATTCTTGATACTTGCATTGCTTATGGACAGCATTCTTGATTGATGGTTTTGGGGTGTGGGGGGATCATCAACTAAATAAAATAGCCCAGGTCTGGATTTAGAGCTGCCCTCCATCTTGGCCCCAGACCGCACTGAATTAAATCATAACCTTCTGGCAAGTCTGCCCTTTGGAAATGAAGAGACTCTCACATGACACACATGCATCCATATAAAAAGACACCAAACCACATGATGCAGACAATACTTAAGGAAAAATTCCAGCCGTGAATACCTGCTCTGAATCCCCGCCAGGCTAATTAGTGATCAAGGGTCGATTATCCAATTGTTCAGCATAGTTTCATTATAAAGAGAGATGAAGTTAAATTCTGCCACGAGAGCAACAGAGGAATGCCTATCTGGGAAAATTGCTGATAAAATGTTATAAAATAACCAAGAAGTGGAGGGGGCGTGGAGGATAAAAGAACAGAAGTATTTGAAGTGGGAGTAATTGCTATTTTTATGCATTTCACATACTGAAGATGGATGGGTTCTTTGTTTAAGGATTTTATCAGTTGGATTTAGACAAGATATCTCAACCTCGGTACTACTGACATTTTGGACCAGATAATTCTTTGGGGGGAGGGGAGTCCTGTGCATTGTAGGAAGTTCTGCAGCATCTCTGGCCTCTGCCCACTAGATGCCAGTAGCACCCCCATCCCAGTTATAACAACCAAAAATGCTGCAAAATTGTCCTCCATCAAGAACTACTGGATTAAGAGATCATTATCCTGAAATACTGAAAAACTGCAGACTTGGGCCAAAAAGCATAATATCGTGTGCCATTTTATTTATAGATCAGTGTGGGTGGAAGTAATGCCAGCCATCTTCAAGCTGTTAGGCTAGACTTGAAGTTCAGGATAGACCTGCACTCTCTGACACCCTGTATTCTGTGCAAAAATACATCTCTGTGTGAACACTGCACTAAATCTCACTTGTTCCAATGAACATCATTTCTCTGCCTTCTACATCATGTCTCCTATCATAGCGATGAAGTGTCCTTTCTGTTGTTGAATGCATTGATTTAAAGAATTTCCAATCTATTTTGAAAGGTATATGGAAGGTAAGTATTGAACCAAACAAACCTGACCCTGTCCCTGAATGATCTTCTAACGATGCTTTAGGAGATCTCAAGCTACGGCACTGCTCATGTGCTAATCGTTTCTACCCATCTAGCTCACTTGACAAGAATCACCCCTAAATAATTTCCACTCTTCTCTGTTCTAAGACTATGTTGACTTAACTTCCTTGCACTCACTCCCCCTTTGGCTGGTTTAGCTAACTTTATGATGTACTCTTCATCAAGTTAGTGAACTCCCTGCTTTGTAAACTTCTCTTTGGCTTCTGCTAAGCTACCATCTTTCCCTAAAGCCTCCCCCATTGAAAGTTTGCATTTAATAACGGAAGTTGCCAACGTCTTGACCTTCTTTCAGATATGACAATGGATGATGTTCGGGAATACGAGAAAAACATGCATGAACAAACCAACATAAAAGTTTGCAATCAGCATTCCTCCACTGTGGATGACATAGAGAGCCATGCCCCAACAAGTGTATGTAGAATTTTTAAAACATGTTGCCCACCCTTTAGCAAACGTACACATAAACTGATCTTTGAGATACTGTGAATGCCCAATTCTCCAGCTTCCACAAAAAGCATCATCATGCAGAGCCTGTCAGTGAAGAACCTGAGCTGGGTCTAAATTGGACAGTGTCACCTCTTGCTTCCAGATAGTCCAATTCTTTAAAGCCGCTTGACCTGGGCGTTGTTTCAGTCGTAAAACCAAGAACACGGAGAGTGGAAACATTTTGTGGTGCTAGCGAACGGCCTGTACCATAAAAGAACAGAGGGGTAAAAACAGATGTCATAGAACATCATGCCAGTAACTTTTAAAAACATAGTTAACACTCAGTTATTCAATCAAGGGAGGGCTTCCTGCTCATCTGGTATTTTAGGTTTCTTTACATTTGCTTTGAAATGCTTTCTATTTGACCCATGCTGGGATCTCGGTGGGTGCTAGCTTGAGCCCACATGTCTGTGAGCCCAAGGCCCCAGAATAATGCATATAAGATTTTTAAGAAATTCAGCATGTAGTTAAAGAAAATTGAGAGATGGCTGTTGTAAATGGATACTTTGGAATTGTGAAGACCTTTTGGCTGCACTTTGGACATTTTCAGTTAAGTTTTCAGAACATGTCTTTGGAACGTGCCTTGCAAGGCTCATGTGCTGCTCTTGGATGCATGTAACTGCCCTGAGGTTGAAATGGCCCTGACTCTTCCTCCCCATTTTGCATGTAGTGACTGGATTTGCAGAACACTGTTCGGACAAGACTTAACTGAGGTGTTCCTCTCTATGCACAGGCCAATTCCAACAGGACCTCCCCCTTCCTCTCTCCCTGTTCTACAGTTAGACGTGCTCCTTAAGGGAACTGTCCTTGAGTTTCCATAACTTTCTATTACCTATTCTTCTAGGAATGTTAGACACCAGTTTCCCCTCAGCTGCTCTCTGAAAGCTGCTCACTATAAGTATGACCAGAGGAAGCCAGAGGAAAGGGGGAGCCGCCACATGTCCAAAAGACACCCTCACAGTGCTTTTCTCATTCTAAGTTCATACAGCTTTCAGCTTAAGGCTCTTTGCTTGGTTTTCTTTCCGTTTTACTGTGATTGTTACTATTAGAAAGTCAGTTTACTATGTAGACGGTGGTACTTAGAATGGCTCTCCCCATGGGAAAGCCCATGCATTCTCTGGCTGCAACTCACAGTTGTTCCCATGACTTCAGTATAAGAGATGTCTATCTCAGAAGTTATACCAAGTGGTTATTTTGAATGCTAATGACATTTCCCTTATTTGGAATTCCATCAAATTGAGGATCATTTATTTTTCCATTGTCTTTCTTCTCTATCATAATGAAAAACAGTTGAAATCAAGAGGCTGCTGTCCATCACAAATAAAAACTGCTTGGGTGCTCAATAAATTCAAATAATCAACCTGAGTAGGGACAAATTAGATTGAAATTGTGCAAAATTAATATCCATGAACATGACAGTAGAGAAACAACAGTCTCCTTTTCAGCTGAGCAGTTTCAATGCCTTCAAGAAGGAAACTTCTGAGACTCGAAGCGAGTGTAAAATCAAAATTCTCTACTGTGGATGATTTCTGCCCCCTGCTGGATGTGTAGGGTAGGGTGCTCTTTTCAGCCACTTGTTTAAAATGTCTGATTTTTCAGAGATGATATCCATTTATTATAGCAGAAACATACCCTGATTCACTGAAATTTTTCTTTCTCAACTTTATTTTGAAATACCTCTTTTTTTAAAACTTAATCTCATTTCTTAGCTTAATAGTCTTAGTATTTTTTAAAATGTGATAAGTTTACATGTACAATTTTTCTTAAATTCTGAATTTTATATTAACACAGTTATAATTTTTTATTTCCTTTGTAAAAACTCTTCCCTTTCAGAAAATTTCAGTAATTGTTCCCAGGAAATCCTCTTAAGGATTTTGTTTTTTGAAAAATATTTCTGGTTTGCTCATATGTTATGATATAACCTAATATATATCAGACCTAATGATTAATACTATCTTATGAATATTCATTCCATGGTTTATATTTCCAAAGTGGCTGTATTGTTTCATGCTGGTTTATATCATCTAAGGAAGGTTCAACTACTAAGTTGATGGGAGAGGACAGGAAGAAAATGAGTCTCGGGGAAGATACAGCAGATGTGGAAAATCCATGGGCAGCAGATTTCATCTTTTACTCAAGGACAAGCCCTTACACCTCCACCCAGTGGTTTTTCTAATAAGCCCAGTTATCTATTTCCCCTATTACCAGCAAATAAAAATGGCAAAGGATGCCAGGGATAGCCAGACTGAGAGTAATCATCATCCTCATCATCAACATCAGCATCATCAGGTTCCTGAGTGTGAGAGAAGAGATGTCAAACTATAAACAGCAAGTCGGCCCCAGGAAAGAAGTCACCACTGTATTGTAGCACAGGGATATACTTTCAGTATATTATGTCTAAAAGGTAGTAAGTGTGTATAATACATTAAATACATGAGAGAAAGATGTACATTTAAAAGAATTTTTTTTTTTTTTTTTTACTTTCTCAATAAGAACATGTCAAGTATTTGGAAAATCAACATAATCCTGTTATAGGCATATTTCACAATGCCTGTTAAATGAGGCATCACTGAATTTATTTCTTAAAAGCCAAATAATGCTTTTTTTCTTTTAAATAAAATTCTCACTCATTAAATGATCCTCTCTTTTTGTTCTCTATTCTTTTTTCTTTTATGTTTCCTTGAGAAATGGTTTTATTTTTCTGATTTGGGGATCATTAGCAGAGTTTGTTATCTTATTTGTTTTTTAAGCTGAATTAATTAAAGCACCGCATCTAAACAATCTCAGGATTGATACACAGTCAGGAAAGAAGTAACCTTAGAATCTAACAAGTGTGTTTATTGGATTAGAAGATAGCATGTTGAGAAATCCTGATGATTTGCCTGTTTATATAAGTATACTTATATTTTCGTGATCTAAAGTAGACTATAATATATATCATTTGGGGCCATTGATTGCTTTAATTACCTTCCCTTTATAGAAAAGATGGCCAGGTCTAATAATAGCTCCATATACCACACCATACCCATAACACACACACATGTGCACCCATACATATACTGCTCCAGTCTGGTTCTGTACTGTCCTGATAAGTTCTTATTCAGAATACTTAAAATACTCACTGAAGAGTGCTTTGGAAAATCTTGGATGGATATTCATAAAGGAATATTTTTTCAGGGTTTGCTTCGGTAAAAAAAAAAAAATTAGGATTTAGCGTTTCCGTGATAATCTGGGTATATAATCTGAGAGGCCCCTTTATGGTAGGGTTCCTATAGTTCCTTTAAAAACAGGCATAGAGATGAACCTATTTGCATCTCTTCTAAATAACTGCTCATTTTTCTTTCTATTTTTTTTCTTTGAAGACATGACAATGGATGAAGTCCGAGAATTTGAACGAGCCACTCAGGAAGCCACCAACAAGAAAATTGGCGTTTTCCCACCTGCAATTTCTATCTCGAGCATTCCCCTGCTGCCTTCTTCCGTCCGCAGTGCCCCTTCCAGTGCTCCATCCACACCTCTCTCCACAGACGCGCCAGAATTCCTCTCAGTTCCCAGAGATCGACCCAGGAAAAAGTCTGCCCCAGAAACTCTCACGCTTCCAGACCCTGAGAAAAAAGCCACCCTGAATTTACCTGGCATGCACTCTTCAGATAAGCCATGTCGGCCCAAATCAGAGTAACTTCATATGAATATTTCATGGGATTTTATATTTTCATTTTGGGGTTATTATTTTTTTTAATCTTCTGATATAGAAAGAGACTGCTTTGTCACTCAAACATGTCTGAGTGTGCATGTGGTTAAGTAATTTCACGTATAACCTGATTCCCTAAGTATGCCACACAGCATGATATTAGATGGAAAATGTAAGACTTGCCAAGGGCAGAAGGAATCTTCTGTGGCCACATCTGGAAGCCAGAGAGGAAGCCTTGTTATTGGGCATTTGGTGAGGTTGGTATGGACTTCAAGGGTAAATAAATGAAAGCTTTGCACCACTGTGTTCCAAGGTGTGGTAAAATAGTGAAGTCAGTTTCCTCCCATCAACCCTGAAATTCTCCAAAATACTCTCAGGCATACCACATCTAACTGTTAAATTTTGAACTGGTCGTCACCAATACTTGAATACCAGGAGTTACTGAGATTCCTATTTTGGTTAGTCTGACTCAGGATTTGGGGCCTAATTAACACTTTAAATTTTTTGAAAATTTTAATTATCAACCTATAGAGGCTCCAAGTGCAATTAATGATAGCTTATTTATACCTTTCACAGAATTTGATAAAGATTCCACTTGTTTCTGTCTTTTAATAACTTTCCCCTTTGTGCCCTTGTGGCCTCGGAAATCTTAAGAATTGCATGGATGAATGTGACCACAACTGACTGATTTTGGAATGGTTTGGTTTAGGAACCAAGAGGCCCAGGTGAGGCAAACATCTTTTTTCTCTACAGGTATCGACAAACATTGACTTGTCAGCTTCCATCATCCATTAAGATTTCAGAATTTGCAATTAATTGAGTAGAATTCATTGACTATTTGCCCATTCAAAGAAGTTCAAGGGTAGAGTGAGCTAACTGGACTTGAACACTGTCAGAATGTCTGGTTCAGGAACCCGAAAAAAGAGAAATGTCTCCCATCCTCCTCCTGGGTTTACTGTTAATGATATCCAGACTTCCCTGGAATGGATTGCCCATCACCAGACCATAGAAAAGACTGTCATTCTCTTGCTCCTTACTTGAAATCCAGATATTGGGAATGTCGCAGAAGTCAAGTAAATACTGCCAAGTGCAAGGAAAGAATGAGCAGAATTGCTGACTCCTATTTGTAGAGCAAAAAGGAGGAGAGAGAAAAGATGCCCCTCTAGCTTTGTTTACTGCAAGGAGTGGTAATGCAAAATTAGAATCAAGGTTGACGGGAGGCGAGATCATTCACCAAAGTGGCAGAAAGAACTCTCCTTTGATCTAAAGAGAAAAACCTGCCACCTTCGCACCTCACTGCCTTTAAACGCAGAAGGAAGGGCAAGCAAAATCTAGCATTTCCTTTTGTCCTCCAAGAGAGGAAGAGAACAAGGTAATTGGGCGACTCCAAGGCCCCAGCTAGCCTTCCTGACCGTAACCTTCAACCTCAGGAAAGGGACCTTCCCAAAACACAGATTCCAAAGGAAACACCATAGACCAAGGAGCGTATTCTCCTTCTCTGACACAGCCTCTGCCAGTGGACCCTGCCTGCTTCTCTCTTAGTGCTCAGCACTCGGCATAGTGTCTTTCAAGTTGATAAACTCTTCCCAAGGTGCAAGCGCTGGCGCCGTGAGCCCAGCATCAAGTGTTCTAAGTCATACGTCAGACTGTCAAGATCATTTCTTTATCTATAGGTTGGCATTTAGCTTTAAAAATAAATAAATAAACCCAGAACTCAAAGGAAACCAGTTGCAAGTAGCGTAGCTCAACAGTGCATCTCTTCCCTAAGAATGATCGCTTTGTAGTAAGACATCTCGGCATGGTATGGAAGCATGATTCTTGCTTGTGGGAAAACTTAATCTTTCATCAGACCCCTTGGACTTCTCAATGGCTCCCTCTCCACACAGTACTATTTAAAGAGAATATTTGGCTTTAGAAAGCAAAATTCTTTCAGAAGACACTGACATATTTATGTATGTATTTGCTTACCATTTACAAGCTGAAATCAGGATGGGGTGGGATCGTTATTCTTGCATAGAGCAGATTTATTTTGTGCAGGTTGTTACACATCTGGCACCTAGTTTTTCCATTAATACATTGCTGTTTTCCTCTTTTGTAAAGTAGCTTCTGCTATCAAGGTCAACAATTCTGTATGCTTTGGAAAGCTAATTTCTGATTTCCTTCTGTGACTTTTCTTTCTCTTATAGCCAGTACAATACCACAGACATCATCGCAAAGCTGCCGATGATAGCGTGATTCTTATCCAACAAACATGTGCTTTTATAATATGTTCAGTTTTTCTGTCTACATGTAGTTTGTGTGCTTTAAAAAACAGGGAGGGTGTGCAAATATTCCTTCAGCTGCTTTGTATATTTAATCCAGTCGTCACAAGGCATAAATGACTTCAATATTTTATCTATCTTGATTTTCAAGTGTCATTTCACATTCTTCATACACGACTTTGTTTATTGTGGGATACAAGCCTGTGTATATAGAACATTAATAATTCCTATAAGGATGGAAATTAAATGGCTGCATGGTGGAAACTGAGAAGAAGAAAACAAAAGCAGAAACTTGAATTCATTAAGCATGTTTGGGGAAAAATAGAATCTTTAACTCAGTGCCTCTGTCTGCAATGTGGAACCCTTCAACTTTGTTCACCAAAATTGTATTATACCTGTATATATATAAATATAGTACTATAGTGAATCAGACTCCACCAGGTTTAAGTCTCTGGTAGCCAAATTAAAATAAATAATCCGTAGAATAACACATATGTTCACACCATCTTCATCTCTGATGTTAGTGGAGACCATCAAAATGACTGTAAATTTCATTACTTTGGGTGGATTTCAAATACCCTGTGCTTTTCGTTGGCTGTAGTACAGCGTTGTTGCTTTGGCTGTGCTTTCCTGAGATGAGAGAGTCTCAGTGTTTTTACTGCATAAACTTTGTCAGAAATTGGCTCTGAAGACCATTTTCCTTCTTTTGGGCTGTAATAAGACAAAGCAAGGAAAAGCATGACAACAAAGAAGGCTGTGACATTTTTCAGTTGCCACCGTTATAACAGAAACAATGTGAGTTCATTGATGAACTAATTTATAAACCCTTCTGCCATGGTGTTGTATCTGTGTGCGGGGAAATGGTTTTAACTTATTTGGAGGTATTTATTAGCCATGTTTTGGGTTGTGAAAATAAGTCTCTAAGTAGCACAGTTGTGGGTATATAATATTTTGTATATAACTTACAAAACACAAGACCCCCAACAGTAATTCTGTGGTTTTCTTTCAAGACACTGAAAAAAGCAGTGACCTAAGAGAATAGATTCTGACACTTCTCAAGAAGTCATTTTTCTGTGAAAATTTCAAGGCTAATATATTTATGTGTATTTTTAAATTCCACTTTCCTTAGATCTCTTCATGGCTCGGAGACAGCAAGGTCACTGGCTGGTTTAGACCAATAGGAATGTTACTTTTCAGAAGGGCCAGAGTATATTTACTGTCTCTACAGTGTTTACTCAGGTAACCCAACAGAGAGGAATTATCTAAATCGCTTTAGTCCTTTTCTGATCATCTAACTCAGTGGGCTAGGTGACAAGCTGCCCTCTGAGCCACAGTTCTTGAAATTTAAAAAAAAAATCTGTCCAGTGACTGCAATTGATCATAAACAGACTATTTAAAACTATTCATTCTTGCTGAAACTGAAGTGTCACACAAGAGCACGGTGTTGGCATGCGGAGGCAAAACCTAGCAGGTTCTGTGTTCTACCGACAAAACAATCTGTTTGCATTTGAAGTGTAAGTGTTTAAGCTTTTTAGGAGTTAGTGCAATAAGAGAATGTGAATATGCTGAGAACTTGTCCCATGCTGTTATTCATTGTAATTTTGTTGTTAAGTTAACAAATGCTTTAGGATAAGCCTCTCGATGTTTTTGCTTTACATTGAAAGCATGTCTGTTGAACTGCAAGTCTCTCTTCAGTTTCTCTGTGTCACCAAGAAGAGGTTCTTTGAGTTGATGTGATACCTATGCCACCTATATGTAGCTTCAGCTGTAATTTTTCGTGTTTACATTTCAGGTTGGGATCTTGGTTAGTTAAATTAGTCGATATACCACTGCCACTGCTGGAGGACCAAGTTTTGGAATGCACAGTGTTACAGACTGCAAGCAAGGCAAACAAAAGTTGCTCCTCACACATGCCAGCCTCCTGTGTCATTTTATGGCTGTTTTGTGTTTTTTCCCCAGTTATTTATTATTGTTAATAACTTACTTTTTCTTACATTCTGTTGTAAATAAAGTACAAAGCAATCTTCTTTCCAAGTGTAGCTTCCTCTCTCTCTTTCTCAGCCATTCTCAAGGTAATGTTAGCAATTGTGAACTTGTGAATTGATGGGAAAGAAGCCATCAAGGAAGAAGGAACAAGCCAATGGCCGGTACTCAGACCCAGTTCTAGGGGACTTGTGTGCAAGGAAGGCTGGCCTGCTAATAGGGATATGGTGCCTTTAGGGCCAGGGCCCTTGGTAGGAAATGCCTGGGTGCCAGCTCTAACTATCCAGCCAAAAAATACCCAAGGAATCTATAACCCAGTGGGATACACGCATAGACTCGTCCATCCATCTAACAGGTACTTGGTTCCCCCTCATCGAATGTGAGGCTCCAGTCTGAGTGGTAACCCAGAAAAATCACCCAAAGGAACCTGTAGGAACACCACCCCAGTGGGACACCACATTCTGTTGCAGGGCAGGCCAGTCTAAAGTAAGCCGAAATCATTCTGAAGTGGTTTCTCCATCTCAAGTAGTTCCTGTTGTTCACAAAAGGGTCGTCTAGGGATGGGTAGAGTGAGGACAGAAGTACTTTACTGCCTCTTGTTCAATAATCTCAGAGCGTAAGCAGCCACACACCTCTCACTCCATGCTCTCCTCTTCAGTCCTGAAACTAATGTTAACATCCGCATCTTGCGCATTAATCTCTGATTGCATCAGGCCACAGCTTCATATAACAGTGCACCATAACGAGGCTGTCTACACTGAAAATTTCCCCAAATCATGAAACACTCATCCAATTAGCTAACACATGCTTGCTTTTGTAGCTCCAACTGCACCATTAGTACTCCCACCCTGCCTTTAATTCTCTCTTCAAAACACACAGACTTCCCACACGTAACTGCTGCTGACTTTTGGCTAGCACACTTGGGTACAGCCAGGCTGGCTGTTTATTCCTGGGGCCGAACTATATAGGTTGTTAAATATTTGGACGCCTAATGTTAAATATATAGATGTTTATAACACCTCCAGTGTCACAGGATTGCTTTTAATTACGGTTACCTCCTTTGAGCATTACTGTTAGACTTCTGAACACCCACATTCTTTTCTAAAATTTCCCGTTTCCTTCGGTACATTCCACTTGGGGTGTTTTGCCTCCAACCTCCCAGCTGCACCTTAGCCTCTCAAGTTCAGGATTAATCACATGTCATTTCTCCAAGCCCTGTTCTGAAATATCTCCAAATGAAAATATTACTCTCAAACCTGAAGCTTTGATGGCTTTAGAACAACAATCAACCTGTGTGTACATGTACATTCGAGTGTGTGTGTGTGAGTGTGTGTTCAGCTCTGTGTAGTTGATCCAGGCTGTTTTCAAGTTTGTTATATTGACTTTCTCTGCTTAATTATTAGCCCCCTAAATATTCCATGCTCTCATAAATTCTCCCTTTTCTATAGCATGCAACCTAGTAGGATATCCCATTCAAGTCCAAACATTTGACTACTTCTCCTGCTCCTGGGAAAATTGGAAACAGCCTGGTACTTTGCCTTGATGCTCTTGCCCGGGTCCCAGCATTGAGGACTGGAACTATTATGTAGCCAAAGAAACTAGATGTGGCCTCTGGTCCTACTGAATCCAGCCATTCACTGTAGCAACATTACTAAACACCTGGAATTTAGGGGATAATTATGTTTACCTAGAAGTACCAACTATCTGCACTAAAGGCAGACACAAAAGGCTGGGGATGGTCATTTCCCCTCCTTTAACTAACAGAAGGGAGATTTGGCCACTCTGTCACTCGAGGGTGTTTGAGGGCAGCCAAATCTGGACCTTTGTAATTTTCTAAAAATTTTATTCCAAAATAACTTTCCTGCTCCCAAGGGATTCTGCATGCAAGATGCTGGCAGTTTACTGCTCATTAGCAACCCTTGAGAATCATTTTATGATCTTAAGGACACAAGTGATTACATTCAGAGCATTCCAAAGATAACACTTGCTACTCTCTGTGTGCAGTCTGCTCTTAAAGTCAGTCATCAGTGCTAATGTGTGTTGTGCCTCTTCTCAGAACACAACTTGAAAATTTAGAAATATTTCTACAGGTTTGAATTTTCCCACTCTCATCTTAGAGCTATTCTATTTCTTTGCATTTTGTTAAAATCTACTATACAGACCCAAGGATGTGAATTTTGTTATCATCTGCATTAAGTACTTTAGAATTTACTCTTTCTTCTGTGGAAGATAACTCATAGATGCATACCTTACTACAAAATGCTTTAAGGATTTTGAATTGTTTTATAAATACCTTTACATTTGGTACATAGCATTTTTATCATTTTTCAGAGCTATGTAATATTCCATTGGGTTGGAAATCCTTAATTTACTTAGACATTCCTTTATTATTTGGCATTTAGGTTATTTTCTGGATTTTGTTATTATATAGAGTGTTGTTAGGAACATCTTTATAACATAGTGTATGTCTTCTTTTTAATTATTTTTCTTGGATAAATTCCCAGAAATTGAATTACTGGGTCAAAGGATATGAATATTTTTATGACTTTGGGTATTTACTGCCAACATCTCCTCCAAAGAAAATTGTGCCAATTTACAATTCCACTGACAATGTATGAGTGAGAACATGTGTCTTTTTAAACAAGTGTCTGCAGTTTTAAAAGTTCACTATTATCAACTTGTTAAGCTATGGCTAGCATTCAGTTCCCATAGAAGTCCTTTGTTGGTTTAATGTGTTAATACCCTCTTTTGGGGTGTTCACATGATGAAAGGCAAGCCCAGACAAAGTTCTCTGATTTATTTAAATGTTCAGTGCCTTCTCCAGCTTACTACGCTGCAGAAACACTGACTGGCTAATACAGAAGAAAAGCATAAGAACTGCATTTAAATAAATAAACATCAATTCTAAGTCATTTTGTTTTCACACTTTCAGTGATACAAACGTTGAATGCATCTTTACTCTAGGGTTTCCTGAAAACCACCATATAAGTGCCAACAGTTTTTTGTTGTTGTTGTTTTTAACGAAGAGAGAATTAAAGTAAAAACTCGAGCTCGCTGTTATTTTAGAATCAATGATGTCCTGATTCTAACAGAACTTTGGTAAGGACAGAGCAGAGTCCTTCCTAAGTCTTTCATTTAACATCTTGAAAGGAACATGATGACAGATTTCCTGCATGCTCCAAAAAAGGAAGGTGACAGTCTGTGCGTCATCCTCTCTTGAGCCATGTGACAGCCATTCCTGAGAAACAGAGAACTCTCCTCAAGGGGAATGGTCATTTCTCACACATAACA